TCTGAAATCAATAATAATAATTACCAACAAATTTTAAAAGACGGGAAGTGGAAGGAAACACTGTCCCTAGGGCTGGTTCAGGCCCGTCGTGGGAAAGGCTGGGAAGACCACGTGCAGGAAACCCACGTGTCTTCAGGGGAACGGCCTCGGGCCCGGGGCACCGCTGGGTGCTCGCACTGCGCTGGACTGGAGCCTGCGGGCCCACCCTGGGCCGCACCCACGGCGGCGGCTCCACGCTAGGGCCTCAGCACAGCACGGATGTGTCACACAGACTTCATGGCTTTGCGTCTCCGGAGCTTATCATTGCCTTTCCTCCCACTCGTCCTGCTTCTCAGCCCCCTGTCTCCGCGCAGGGGGGCTGCCGTCTCCTGGGCATCCCCCCACCTCTCTCTGCCACCCCGTCTCTCTCTGAAGCCCGTTGGTTTACTTGTGTGTGGTCAGGCTTCCCCAGCGAAACATGGGCCCCAGGAGAGCTGGGGTTGGGCTGGGGCTCCTAGCTGCCTGCCTGGGCCTCGACGAGCACCTGGCACTCATTCCAATGCCTTCCAAATGAATGAGTTATAAATGCAAATGTGCACAAATATCTTCTTAATCAGCTCAGGAATATTGTGTTATCATTTGATCCATTTCCTGCCAGCCTCACCCCCCTGTTCCTGGGCTGGTGGAGGGCCAGTGTCAGCTCTGGGGCCACGCTGGTGGTCTCAGCCACTGGTCCTCACTGGTCACCAGACTGTCTGGGACACACGCGTGGCTGAGAGTGTCGAGCGGGTCCGGGCGCTCTGCTCCTGGAACCCAGCCTCCCTCTGAGGTCTCGCATTGCTCCTGCTGGCAGCTCGGGGGTCTGTGCTACCTGGGGGACCCCCAGATGCCAGACCCTCTCGCCAGGACTACATGCCTCTCTGCTTCCCGCCCCTCGGGCACACTCTTCCCTTCCTGCTCAGCTGAAGCCTGAGCCAGGGAACCTGTAAGGTCCTGACCACTTTCTCGGGACAGGTACAGGGGAGCCTGAGGAATGGACGGGCACCAGGGTCTCAGATGTACCCGACGCATCCATCTGAGGGAGGAAACCGGGGCAGTTGGAGGCCTGTAGGCTCTGCCTCCCCATTAGGGGCTGAGCTGTGTCCCCCTGAGTTCTTATGTTCAAGGACTACACGCCAGCACCCCAGGGGCACCTGTCTTTGGATAGAGGTGCTTTCAAGGTGGTCAGGCTCAGGTAAGGCGTTCTTCTAAGAGGAGGATAGGCAGGTGCAGAGAGCAGACCCTGGGAAGACAGGCCTCTGCCAGGCAAGGAGGCGGCCATCTTTTTTCATTTAACACGAGAGGCCCGGTGCACAGGATTCCTGCACTGGTGGGGGGCGTGGCCTGTGGGGATGGCCTGCTGTGGGAGCGCCACTCATCCTGGTCAAAGGTGCCGCTGTGGACCTGCCCTCTGAGCGGCTGCTCCCCCTGTGGGGGGGCACTGACCCCCAAGAGGAAGCTCCTGCATTGAGCATCTGCCCCCTGGTGGTCAGCACACATCATAGCTCCTTCTGGCCATTCTGCCACTCTGTCACTGGGCTTTTATTATATAGGATATATCTTTATGGATTTCAGAGAGGAACTGGGGATGGAGCCTGCAACCTGGGCATCAAATGTGTAACCCAGGCATGTGCCCTTTCCAGGAACCCAAGCATGACCTCCTGGTTCACAGGTTGATGCTCAACCCTGATCCATGCTGGCTGGGCCATCTTGACCTAGACTTCCGGCTTCCGGACTTGTGAGAAGACGTGTTTCTGCTCCTGTAGTCACCAGCAGGCGGCCCTTGGCTGTGCAGCCCTGGCAAAGGACCGCAGGCCCGTGCAGTGAGGCCCGCAAGGCAGCATCTCGGCTCTGAGGCCTCCACCTCGAACCCCAAGTCGCTATAATCACAAAGGTCATTTCTCCCCAGACCCCCTCAGCCTCAAAGCAGGTGGGGCACGGGCTGAGCAGGACATTGCCCTCTGGGGGGCGGGGTCTTTTTTCCCATGCCCCCTCCTCACTGGGATGCCCAGCACCACCTGCTCAGAGGGCATGGCTCTCAGGAGACAGGGAACACCTGAGTGGCACAGGCCCTGGGGGCCAGCAGAGGGTGAGCTCCTGGTTCCCCAGGTGCCCGAGGTGCATCACTGTACCTGGAGTCATCGATGCTCATCCCTCACGTTGAGATTCCCTCCTGTGTGTTTCACATCTCACAGCTCTGTGATCGGCGCTCATTCCTCCAGAGGCTGAGGGCAAGTTTTAGGAGGATCTGTCTTTTCCTGGGATGTTCATGTCTTCTCTCCTACGTAATCTCATGTCTTACCGTTGTCAATCACCGTGTGCAGGGGAAATAAAACAATAATAACAAAATATAATGTTTCAAAGCTCCAGTTTTTAACATAGACTTTGGAGGGCATAGTTTAGTGACAATTCCAAATAATAGTTGTAACCCACGGGGGAAATGGTTTTATTTGTTTAAAAAGATAGAAGCTATCATGTAAACCTCATGTTTAATAATTTATTGATGTTACCTTATAGTTCTCTTTAAAAATTATAATTAAATTTTAGATAACCCAGTACTGAGGGTTCCATATATACAAATCAATCAATGTAATACACTCCATTGACGAAATACATGATGAAAATCATATGACCTTATCAATAGATGCAGCAAAAGCATTTGATAAGATACATTCATTTATGATTAAAACACTTAGATAACCCAGTACTATCTGAAATGAAAAATATGCAATATATATTAATAAAAACTGAAGTAGCAAAATGAGATAGTGGATAGAGCAATAATATTGTTATTTAATTCAGTGACTTTAGAGAAAGATGTCCTCTGGTCTTAGAAAAATGAATGTCAAAACTGTGTTTTCTTTTTAAAAAAATACATTTTCATTGATTTCAGAGAGGGAGAGAAAGATAGAAACATCAATGATGAGAGAGAATCATGAATCTGCTGCCTCCCGCAACCCAGGCATGTAGCTAATGTCTTAAGGTGCCTGTTGATTTTATTTTTTTAAATTACAGATTACATTAAATATTACTTTGTTTTTGTTTCATGTATACATCCTATTGGCTAGACCCGTGGTCGGCAAACTGCGGCTCGCGAGCCACGTGTGGCTCTTTGGCTCCTTGAGTATGGCTCTTCCACAAAATACCAGGGCCCGGGCGAGTCTATTTTGAAGAACTAGCAGTAGAAGAAGTTTAAGTTTAAAAAATTTGGCTCTCAAAAGAGATTTCAATCTTTGTCTTGCTGATATTTGACTCTGTTGACTGATAAGTCTGGACCACTGGCCCAGAGTTAAGGGGAGGGACCTGGGATTGGGGGCCGGATACGGTCTGTGAGCGGAGTGAGCCCACGGAAAGGGCGGCGTGAGGAGAGGGAAGGAGTAGCTGACCCAGAGCAGCTGGAACAATGGAAAGACAGATGTTACAAGTGCTTTTTCTCTCCTTTGTTCTGACTAGCAGAGTTTGTGTTAGGATGGCACTTGCAACAGGCTTTTCCTTTGTTGTCAGGAGAGATTGGGAGAAAGCCTGCCCACCTTCCTGGTGAGAATCCAGTGCCCAGGGCCCCCTGACCCTCCGGTCTCTCGGTGCCCGCAGTGGTTTTGGGGGCCCCTCACTCGGAGATGAAGACACACGAGGGCACGCATGGACCCTGGCTCGGAGCGGGCGGCATGCTGCTCACTGTGGATCCCTCCTCCTGTGGACACGCAGTGTTGACAGCAAGGTGGCGGCTGCCACAGGGGCACACGCAGATTCCCAGGCTCCGTACCTGTGTGTGCCTCGTGAGGAGGGATGTGATGGGAAATAAAATGCTCCGTTTGAATAATCTCGGTAGATTCAAAGCAGTAACTGTCTCGGAGCACATGTGAAACCAACGCATATGCTGGGCCACTCGGACCCAGAACTCGCGACGAGAGGCTGCTGACGAGGCCAGCGCAGGAGACAGTGTGTGTGCGTGGGGCTGGCTGTTCCCTCAGGTCCCCGCAGTCCCTCCGCCCAGGAAGGAGGAGAGGAAACACTAACTCGGAGACACTCCACGCTGCCTCAGGGTGCGTGGTGCGGGGACAGTGGAGCTCGGGCTGCTTTTCAGAAAAGATTTTAAAAGCGGTCCTGCATTCCTTTACTCCCTCTTCTTAGGGGGTTAGTGGCACGGGCTGCAGACAGGAAAGCGAAGAAGAAGAAGAAGAAGAAGAAGAAGAAGAAGAAGGAGGAGGAGGAGGAGGAGGAGGAGGAGGAGGAGGAGGAGGAGGAGGAGGAGGAGGAGGAGGAGGAGGAGGCTAAAAAGAGAAGGAGGAGAAGGAGGGAGAGGAGGAGAAGGAGGGAGAGGAGGAGGAGGAGGAGGAGGAGGAGGAGGAGGAGGAGGAGGAGAAGGAGGAGGAGGAGGAGGAGGGGAAAAAGGAGAAGGAGAATTATTAAGCTATGGGAACCCCTTTTTCTGCCCATGCCAATGGTGATTCTCAGACCACCTTCTGGAGAGAATAAACTTCTTAGCAGCTGACTTCCCTCCTGGCCTGCGGGCTGCGACCTCCAGGCGACCTCTGCTGTCTGTAGGATTATTAAAGGGAAACAGTGCCATGGCTGCCTTTTTTAAGCGCTGGCTCTCATCCCTCTGCGCCAGAGAATTTGTTCCCGCTTCAGCTTGCCCCAAACGGGATGGTCCCGGAGGGCCTCTCCCCTCCCCGAGGTGGGCTGAGCGAGGGCGGGGCGTGAGCCGGAGTGGGCCGGCGCCTCGGTGCCTTGGGCCCTTCAGAGCGGCGGCCACAGCGGCTCCGGTCCTGCTGCCCCCTCCGGAGTCCAAGAGCGCATCCTGCTGCCGGCTTCCCTCTCCAGCCCTGCCTGTGCCCAGCTTCCCTCTCCAGCCCTGCCTGTGCCAGCTTCCCTCTCCAGTCCTGCCTGTGCCCAGCTTCCCTCTCCAGCCAGCTTCCCTCTCCAGCCCTGCCTGTGCCAGCTTCCCTCTCCAGCCTGCCTGGGCCAGCTCAGCGGGCAGCATGGGCACGGGGGACTGCATCTGCATCTCCATGACCGGAGGGGCACCCTGGGGCTTCCGGCTGCAGGGGGGCAAGGAGCAGCAGCAGCCCCTGCAAGTGGCCAAGGTAGGTCCCTGCGGGGCGGGTGCCGTGCGGGGGAGGCGGGAGAGCAACCTGTCCGAGTTCTGCTCAGACGTCAGGAGGACGCCTGGGTTTCAGTGCTGTCACTGAGTTTTCAGGAGGTTGGCTTGGTTTGTTTCAAGGAAGCCTGGGAGGAAAATGCAGAGTGATTAACCAGTAATTGCAGGGTGGGATGGGGGATGTGTCCTATTAATCAGATGGAGAAAAGCCAAGTTCATCAGCTTCTGTGACACTGGGCAGGACACCGGGGCTGTCTTGCGGGCAATAGGAGAGACTCAGCGAGTTATTGTTTCGGGTCAGGGTCCTTGGCTCCGCGTAGCAATGGCCCCCGAATCTGTGGAGTCCCATGAAGTGCTGGAGAGGATTCTCACGAAAAGGCTGGTTCTGAGCGATCGTTTTTAAAGTGTGGCGATGTCACAAAATCTATTAGAAAGGATATTCCTTTAAGGATTTGACAAATAAGTGCAAAAACCCAAGGACTCTGTCCCACTTGTGTGCATTCGTCTGCCTAGTGCTCAGGATGCTCGCTGTGCTGTACGCAGCTTCATGTAACGGCGAAACACATCTGATCGCCGTCCGGAGCGGGTGAGATGCTTTGCTGCCAGATTGCTTGTTTCTCAGCTAACACCCTCCCGGTTTGCTGGAGGCGTCCTGCAGCTGAGATGCAGCTGAACTGAGTTTTAAAACGCAGGGAGAGAAGCAGGCTTTTCTCTGAGCGCAGTGTGAGGAACATGTGAGACTCGTTTCCTGTTTCTTACCTGCACTAAAATGGATCCAGGTCGTTATGAAACACACGGACCGCTGGCCTTTGTAGCTATCTTCCTCTTGGACTTTTCTGTTTTAAAAAGATTCACTGCGGGGGAAGTTTGTGAAATGTTCTGCTCCGGCTCAGAAAGTCCCTCCCAGTGCGGCGGGGGAGCCCTGCCCCCTGGCGGCTCCGGCAGATGAGGAGCAGGTTTTGGAGTTGGATTGTTTCTCTCGGGGTCTGCCGCCTCCAGCAGGGCTGGGCTGGGCGGGCGGGAGAGTCCGGCACAGAGGTGGTTTCCTTGTGTTTCTCTGGAGGCCGTGGCCGCGGGCATCCAACAGAACCATGCCCACTCTGCACGGGTGGCCCTCGGAGCCTGGGTTTGTTCTGGGTCCAGAAGAGCCGCCGGCTGGCTCCCAGGACTGAGATTTGGGGTCTAATTCCAGCTCTGAACTAGCGTGCAGCCCGGCCTGAGACAAACAAACCTCTCGCCCTTTCTGACTCGTGTGCCTGTGTGCGTGTGTGTGTGTGTGTGCGTGTGTCTGTGTGTGGGTGTGTCTTATGTGTGAGTGTGTGTCTGTGCCTGTGTGTGTGTGCGTGCGTGCGTGTGTCTGTGTCTATGTGTGAGTGTGTGTCTCTGCGTGTGTGTGTCTGTGTCTGTGTGGGTGTGTCTATGTGTGTGTGTGTCTGTGTCTGTGTGTGTGAGTGTGTGTCTGTGCGCCCGTGTGTGTCTGTCTGTGTCTCTGTGTATCTGTCTGTGTCTCTGCGTGTGTGTGTCTGTGTGTGTCTGTGTCTGTGTGGGTGTGTCTATGTGTGTGTGTGTCTGTGTCTGTGTGTGTGTGTGTGAGTGTGTGTCTGTGCGCCCGTGTGTGTCTGTCTGTGTCTCTGTGTGTGTGTCTGTGTGTCTGTGTGTCTGTGTGTGTCTCTGTGTGTCTGTGTCTCTGTGTGTGTGTCTGTGTCTCTCTGTGTGTGTCTGTGCGCCCGTGTGTGTGTGCCTGTGTCTGTGTGTGTGTGTGTGTGTGTCTGTGTCTGTGTGTGTGTCTCTGTGTGTGTGTGTCTCTGTGTGTGTGTGTCTCTCTGTGTGTGTGTGTCTCTGTGTGTGTGTGTCTCTGTGTGTGTGTGTCTGTGTGTGTGTCTCTGTGTGTGTGTGTCTCTGTGTGTCTGTGTGTCTGTGTGTGTGTGTCTGTGTGTGTGTGTGTCTGTGTGTGTGTGTGTCTGTGTGTGTCTCTGTGTGTGTGTGTGTGTCTGTGTGTGTGTGTCTCTGTGTGTGTGTGTGTGTGTCTGTGTGTCTGTGTGTGTGTGTGTGTGTCTGTGTGTGTGTGTGTGTGTGTGTGGAGAGCGGCGTTGTCAGTGGCTGGGAAGGAGAGAGCAGGCCATCGGCCGCACCGTGGTGAGGGGCTGGGGGCCGGCCTTCTAGTCTGGCTGCCAGTTCCAATGTGGGGCCGCGTGGCCTGAGGCCGTCCCTGCGGGGGCGGGTTCTCCGGATCTCGGAGTGGAGTGCTTGCTTCCAGTGGAGCCTCGTGTGCGGTGTTTGGGGAACGGGGATGGCGAGTGAGGGTGCTCTGTGGCCTCTCTGCTGGGGCGGGACCCACAGGCGATTACGCCGCGTGAGCAACGAGCCGTCAGCCCTGCTCTCCGAGCCGTCCTTCCTACTCAGACCCTGTGTCTGCGGGTTTAAAAGGTCATTAGTGTGTGCGTGTGTGTGTGTGTGTGTGAGAGAGAGAGAGAGACAGAGAGACTGCAGCCTAGTTTTCAGCATATGTAAAAGTGACCAGAGAGCCTTCTAAAGAAGATATAACCTCTGAATCACTATGGCAGTGCCACTTCATAAAAATCTATATTGTCTGTTTTTTCCTTAATTCAATCTTACTGTGTGTGTGTGTGTGTGTGTGTGTGCGTGAGTGAGTTTTAGTTAATCCTCACGAAGGAGAGTTTTTCCATTGAGTTTTAGAAAGAGTGGAGGGGGGGAGGGAGAGAGAGAGAAACATCAATGTGAGAAAGACATTGATTGGTTGCCTTCCACATGCAACCCAGGCATGTGCCCTTGGTGGGAATCAAACTGGAGACCCTTAGGTCCTCAGGCCGATGCCCTCACTGCTGAGCAACACTGGCCAGGACTGATATGTGATTTCTTATACCAGCTCTAGAGGCCCAGTGTGCGAATTCACGGGTGGGGTCCCTCGGGTGGCCTGCGGAGATCGGGCCCCTCTCGCACCCGCGTTGGCCCGGCGCCAAGGTCTCACTCTCATCAGAGCCCATTGGGGCCGGCAGCACCTCCACTGCCACCAGCTGCCAGTGCCGTGTCGCCAACACCTGCCATGCTCCTCGCCGCCCCCTGGTGGTTAGCACACATCGTAGCAAGTGGTCGAACCACTGCCCGAGGGCACAGTCTGCAGAGCAGGCCTTTGTTCTGTAGGGTTACTGGTTGCAGAGAAAAGCGCCCCTGACTTCCTTTGTGACCAGGCCACGGCCTCACGCATTGAGCTAGCTGGAGTCCGTTAATGGATCCTCACGGAGCTCAAGGTGAAATGAAGGTTGTTCCGTCAGGGACTGCCTCCTCCTCCTAGGACTGCGATGACTTACTGGGGCCCCGTCACCTCCCCGCAGGCAGAGGAGAGAGATAGGGGCTGGGAGGGGTGGCTGCTGGCAGACAAAGCACTCCTCCTTCGGAAGAAAGTGCACATAATGGATTGGGGAACTGAAGAAAACGTTCATTTCCAAAGACAAGGAAACGCCAGGCAGTGCTTGCGGTGCCCTGGACGTGGGACTGCCACCACGCAGTCCTGTAGGTAACGGCCCTTTCCGGCGGTCACGTGACCCGTGTTGAGGTTCCCATAGTTCCGTGTGGACGGAGAGCCGAACCAGCTCTGTCAGGCCGATGGCTCTCTCCCTGGCGCCGGCCCGGTTCCTGCTGGTGCGGTTCAGGCGCAGCATCGGGCTGGCTGGCCCGCCGCAGACCCAGCTCCCGCAGTGCGGACAGAAACTCAGGCCCACAGCGTTCCCCTGACGTGGCCGCTCAGGGCCACAGCTTTCCGCTTTGTTCTCAAGAGCACATTGAATTTTATAAAGGCCCAACTTATCATAATATCATCTTGTTTTTTTTTTTTTTTTTAAATTTAATAAGTCTTTATTGTTCGGATTATTACAATTGTTCCTCTTTCTTCCCTCCAAAGCTCCCCTCCACCAGGTTCCTACCCCATCTCTGCCCTTCTGGTCCTCCTCCCTTCCCCCACTGTCCTCATCCACAGGTGTACGATTTTTGTTCAGTCTCTTCCCGCACCCCCCGCTCCCCTTTTCCCCGAGAATCGTCAGTCCACTCTTCTTACATCTCTCCATTTGTGCTGAATACATGGGACGGGGAGCAGGTATTCCCGACGCAGCGCCCTCAGACTCACTGCGGAGTGGGGCTGCGGGAGGGCGGCCGCGGGAGCAGACGCGGCAGATGTGGCTGCCGCCCCCCCTGGCGGGGGACGTCCTTGGGGGAAGCTCGCCAACATTTACTTTACAGACTCCTTTTCCCAAACATGGACTTACATGGCCATGTTCCTGGACAGACTCTTGGCAAGCCCGTTTGAAAAATCTTTACATAGAGAAGTGAAGAAGTTTCTGTTTCACAAACAAATGTCCTGGATGGCTCAGAAAGAATGTGTGTTTTGAAAATAATGGCTCAAGGGATGTTTGGACAGTTCATCCTTGATATGTTTTAACTTAGAAAGGGAAGCTTTCCGCCACATGGTGGTGCTTAGTCTTCTGTTATTTTTTCATTCGAAGTTTCACATAACTGCTTCTTAAAATGGAAACAACAAATTGCAGTCCCCCGCATAGGAGGCAGAATTTAATGCTTATCTATCGCTGTGTCATCTCTCTTTAAAGCTTTGAGTGAAATTGTGCTGTTTAATAGGCAAAACCCTTTAAAATAACACAATTCCCATTCCTTAGTGCCTTCAGCGAGGTTTCGAACATGTTTCAAATGAAATCATTCCGGAAACATTTTCTCAAGAGGAAAGAAAGGTTTTAATGTGTTTGAATGAGTATGTGTGAGGGTAGAGGCTTCTTACTATTTTCCAATAAAGGCTTCTTTCTATTGGAAAATAGATCACTTAACTTTTTATTGATTTTGAGCACTAGCCTTCTACAAAGCCCAGAGGCAGGTGTGCCTTCGGGAGTCAGCGCCACACGCTCCCTCTATCGCGCAGACGCCTGTAAAGCTTCACTCTGCACGGCGGGCCTTCCGACGGGC